CTCAGCCTGGGTTTACATCCTTCAGGTGCCCAGGAGGATATGAAGGAAGCTGTTAAGGCAATTCTATCTTCTAGGAAACACCATGGAAGTCTGATGCGAGGGTTGTGTGCTAATGACTTCTCATGTTGTATCCTTAGGTTGTAAATCTAAATTAGGGAAGTTTTTCTTTCCCAATAACAGAATTCTGGGTTTTGTGTGAGTGCCCATGGTTAATACTTTACATGCTCTTTTCTGGAAAATAGTTTGCATTGTGCTTGTTAACCTCAAGCCTGGTTTTTAGTTGTCACCAATGCAGAGACTGGCCTCATTCTCGTGTTTAGAATGCATAGATGTGTGGCTTTAGACAGTTAGGGTAACTGTGCATCCCAGCCTAATAACTGTAGGAAACTAAGCTGGCTTTTAGGATTATAGTGCAGATTTGGGAGCTTGTTTAAGATTTTTAAGGCTCTGTGCTGTTTGTTAGTAAGAGCTTGTTCTTTGCTCCCTTCCTAAATGCGTCGAGGTGAAGTTTTACTTCTGCTGAGTAAGTGTACTTAGCAGACTGTGAAGGCTGATAGAAAATGCTTACTTTTGCTAGCATCTTCACCAGATTTTTGTTACTACTGCTAAAATTGTTTCTAGGTGCTGATTTGAGTCATTGTGTAATATAACTGTAATATAACTTAACATTCCTGTGCACTACCTTCAAACATTTCTCTGGAAGGGACACATTTAAAGACTAGGATGAGAGGAGTATTTCTGCTTTGCTGTTATCAGCATAGTGAGAGAGCACTTCTGGACTGTAGAAGTGCTATCAGAAGGCTGGTGGGATCTGTGCCAGTAATTTATTTATTTTTTTCTCTGTGCTTAATAGCTGGAAAGTTCAGAACTCTTGAGTATCCTCTAACACTTTGAATTAATAATTGTGATTCCGGTCATGCATGCTGGTCTGTTGCTCACATGCAAGCACTGTGAAATTAATGTTATGTCATAACTGAAGTAGCAGTCATTATTAAATACTCAGGATGGATGTATTATCATTGATTAGTATAATCTAGGCATAACTATATATTCTTCTTGAAAACTTAAAACAGTAGCTATATTTCACGGGGGAATAACTGGGTAAACCTTAAATGTCTGGTGATATAAGAAGCATGTGGTCAAATCAGAGCTTTGTTTGTTTTATACCATATTACTCTCTCATTAAAATACCACACCCCTCTCACTGCTTAAAATTGAACGCAGTATGGGTATTTGTAGCCTGCATGGGCACACACTAACTGGGGCTTCTCAAGCCCTTTTGGCTAGATTTTCTTGCTTACTTTTGACTGCTGGCAAACTACAACAGTGACAACCAACATGTTGCTTTCTGCATGTTTTAAACTCAGTGTTCTTGGTTAGTGCATTTGGGATTGCTTAGGAGGTGCTAATTTGTAACTCCAGTCAGTTGTAGAACTGGCAGTTTTCTTTTTGGGGGATAGAGGAACAGCAAAAGGTGTTGAGAGTGGAGGATGTGTCCTATCTGGAAGGAGCGTCCTGGTTTTGTTCTAGCAAGTTTTCTATTGCATGATTCTGGTGAGAGAACTAATTTTTTTTTAGCATAATTTTGCTAAATTAAATTTGACTCTCTATATCCTTTAGCTTAATTGACATTATTATATACAGTTGAATAGAGGTGCTAGAAAAACCTCTACAAGTCCTTCTGGTTTGCTCTTGATGTGTATGTGGTATGTATTCCAGATTTGGAACATGTTGGAAAGGTTAAAGCAGATCTTATTCTACTGACAAAAGTACTTTGCTGGGAAGGATTTTTTTTTTATTACTATTGTCTAGAAACAACATTTAAAACTATATTCAACAATAGTCCTTGCATTTTAAACCTAATCTTTACTTGCTAAAGTAAACAATTTGGAGAACCAGTAGCCTTTTGGCAGATCATGTTTTGCATGCCTGTACAATGCCTCATTAGTTTTTACAGGATGCATCAGAAGACAAATATAAACAACCACTTGTTTAAAAGCCCACTTAAAAATGAATTTGTTTTCTGAAAGGTTACATCGCAGTCATAATTTAGGTAGCAATGCTATGTTGAGCTTTAAGGCAGTATCAGTGGTTTTTGCCTCATTGCCTTCTGTGTTGGGGAGTGTTCTTTGTTACAAGGCATGACTTGTTAAATATTGGTGTTCAAGTTGAGAAAATTCTAATGTTGGCCAACAGAAAAATCTTGAAGTCTAGTAGTTTTCAGTCTCTTTTTTACACCTGGCCTTCAGTAAGGAAAGTGAAAAATCATGAAGATACTTTTGCCAAGTATAACAGAAATCAGTTTGAACCTTTTCTAACCTGATACATTAGAATCTGTTACAAGGCATGACTTGTTAAATATTGGTGTTCAAGTTGAGAAAATTCTAATGTTGGCCAACAGAAAAATCTTGAAGTCTAGTAGTTTTCAGTCTCTTTTTTACACCTGGCCTTCAGTAAGGAAAGTGAAAAATCATGAAGATACTTTTGCCAAGTATAACAGAAATCAGTTTGAACCTTTTCTAACCTGATACATTAGAATCTTCTTTTCTTTTTCTTCTTTTTTTTTTTTTTTTTTTCCCCCTTTAAATTAGTTGTTACTAGCTGTGTTTCATTAATAGCAATCAATGTCCTATGTGTGAAAAATAAAATACAGAGTGTTAAATTGAAAGACACAGCAGCTGGAATGGTTTAATTTTGTTATGTTAGTGATCTGACCAAACACTTGGTGAAGTGAAGAAGCAGCTGAGTTTCAGGTAGCTAGGTCTCAGTTGTGCTGCCTTTTTTTGTGGAGGGAGGAGGTAGTTTTATATTTTGAGGAGAGGTGCCAGTGAGTTGTAAGGTCATTACTTTTCTGCTAATGCAAGGTGAGAAGCTTCATTGTGAGAGGTTGGTGCATGCCCACCTGACAATGGATATCTTTACTCTTGGTCTGGATGTTGACAGTTCTTGGATGTGGAACCTCCCTGTTGTGATCTGGTTATCAGTCTTGCTCCAAGACCAGATGACTCTGCAGATTAGGTCGTGTATTACATCGGTCCAGGAGTTAAAGCTTCTGCATAATGGAACAGCTGATCTCTTAGCTGTACACCCCAGTTCCAGCACATGTTCCCTTGGGATTTACACTGGCTGCCTCTGTTAGCTGAATTTTCTCATTGTCTTGCAAAGTTTAGGATGTTTCTTCTCCATGTGGTCACTTTGTGATGTAATGCCACAACAGCATTTAGTGGAGTTACTCAACAGAGAGAGTACTGCTGAACATGGGGGTAGGATACTCTCTTTTTGTTGCAAGGAAAGGAATTCAGTCCTTTCATGCTAAAGGAGGTATATAGTAATGCTTGTAATGTGGCTGTGTCTTTAAACAAGACAATAATTTCATGTCAGAACGGAGCTAGTGTATTTCTTATGGACCAGTGAGTGTCTACTTAGTATATTTTTACATTGTGCTGTTCTGTGGTTTTTTAATTAATGCAATGGCTATTAGAATATTTAGATTTATTTGTTTTTCAGCTGAGGAAACCTCAGTGTAGTAAGCACAAACCACTAATATTCTACATCCTACTCTTTTGAAATATGTTGATGAAAACAGGTCCACATTCAGTTATATGGGATCTGGGTGCAATGGCTCATCTTATATTTTTACTTTTGCTGCTAAGTAACGTTAGCAGGCTTTAGAATTTTCTCCTGTTAATTTTATGCATGTAAGCATAATTGATAGGTACTTTGGAGAAGTGGTAATATGCAAAAACAAGCTGAGCATAAGCAACTTGGAACATCAGGTACTGCAGTATGAAAAATAAATTACACAATAGTTAAAAAAGAAGAGATTTTATATTCAGCTATCCTGTAATATTTAGGAGAGCTCATTTTTATAAATTGGCTGTGCCACAGCAATTTAGATAGTGCTGCAATATGTGATAGCTATGCCAGCACTAAAACTGGAACAGTCTTGTTAATACCCTTGTGTCAGGCGAATTGTATTGAGAGTACAGTATTTTCTTTGATATGTTTTCCCACCAAAATACTTTAAAAACCAAAAGCTTCCTCTCTGAACTGGGAAAGTGTGAAATTTCATTTTGGGGCAGACACTAGGTTTCATCTGTGCTTTTGTGAACTTCAGCCTTTGGACTATAGGAATTTAAACTAGTTCAGACAAACAGCTTTGCACCTGTGTAAAGGGAAAGCTTTGGCAACGTTGGACTTTTGAAGTAGAAATAGTCAAAATAATGGCTTGAGGATATTTCTGGCTTTGGTAAAGTGTAAGGCTTCCCATTACCTCCAGTATAATCTTTTAATATTGAATACTCTTTTGGCAAATTCAGTTGCAATTTAAAAGAGATCTTTAATTTTGGAGAGAACAAAATAAACCAAAGCGGGAAAATGTGAACCTTTTAATAACAAGCAACGGTTACATTGATTATTATGGCTTCAAAGAACCTTTTTTCTCTGTTCAGGGTTGCGGGTGAAACGATTTAATAATTTTTTTGGATACTGGTTTCATTTTGGTCAGCAAGCACAGTTAGCAGAGTGTTACAAGGAAAAAGGAAACTAGTAACCTTGAATTTGTGAACGTTCCAAAAGCAGAAATGGAGTTTGTAGAATAGTGCTCCAAAACTTACCAGTGGTTATATAATTTTAGTATAAATTTGAAAGCAACTGTGTATCTTTGCCATATTATTAACAAGGACACATCTCAGCCATGCTTTGAAAGCTTTTTCTTCTTGATTGCTTAATAGTTTTATTAAACTAAGCCACAAAAGATGTTCAGAGAACACAATGCCAGTATTTCACTTTTATTTAGATAGCGTATGCTTAAGTCAGTGTACTTAGTTTTTCTGAAGACTTTTCCTGTGAAAGCCTACAGATTTTGCAGGGTTTTTCATTACCTACAGGAACAATGTTGGACTGAATGATTTGAAAAAATCCTGACTTTTAAGACATGATGTGATAATCAAATGTTTATTTCTGTTTATGCGTCCTTTCCCATTATTTCAGGAGCTGTGGAAGTGGCAGTCCAAAGTCCAGTTGCCTGCTGGTTTAGTGCTATGCTTCATTGCTTTGGTGGTTCAGTTTTGGCTTCGTTGATGCTTGCAGAACCTCCAGTAGCATTTCTGGCGAAGACCACAAATATTCTACTGGCATCTTCAGTCTGGTAAGCAGGCATTATTGAGGTAGATGAGTAGCATTGGTTCAGAGGAAACTCTACTTTGTAAACCACGATTGTGTAAATCAGAAGCTTAACTTCAAAATGTTACAGATTTGGATGCTGTTTCTTCATCCAGAAAGTCACTGCAGCAAAATAGCTGTTGTGATCCTGTTCTTTCAGAATAAAATGCTTGTAAGAGACCAACTGTTACGGGCTACTGTATAACAAAATCCTCCATCACTAGACCAGACTTTTCTTATGTTTTTATAGTGTTCTTGGGTAAAGAGCTGAAAACATTATTTTGGAATAAAGTGAACTTCAGTTACTGCCTTTCTGTATGTAGGAAAGTCATCAGTTCTGCCTGGTTTTTCAACAGTAGATCCTGAAGACCCAAACCTGGCTGATACAAGAGTTTGAACTTCCCTGTAATAGGAAGTCTTAAAACACAGATCTTCTTTCCTCTCCTCTAGTTATACTTGACATCCTTTTTAAATTTTTTTTGCCTTTTCCCAAATGAGTGGTTGTCGTGGAAGAGAGTAGAGAGCTGAATGGGAAGTCAGGTATGTGAACAAGGCAACCATTTGGCCTGCTTGGGAATTCAAAAAAAGCACTGGAGTTATCTTCATGTAAATGTGGTCTTCCACTGGAGTTTGTTTGTTCCAGAGAGTGATCTTTGTGGAAACCCTAAAATCTTAACAAATTTGTGAGCAGCGTTGGGTTTTTGAATTTAGAAATATAAATTCTTGTTTTAGGAGAGTTTTCCCTGCTTTAAATCCTTTAGTGTTGCTTCTTTATAGCCTCCTTAGGTTTTGTAATTGCGAATCCATGACAGTGAAAGTATGTTTTTCTGTCTGTGTATATCTATATATGTCTTCTTGCAGTGGGAGATGACAAGTCTCAATTGGGTGGAAGAAATAATGTGCAATAAATAGAGCAGTATTAACAAAGCTTATAGAATCTGCTTATGGTTCATGTTAGACTGATGCAGGCAACATGGCTGCTTGTTAGGAGTGACACAAGTTAGGAGTACACCTAAACAGAGTGTGATTTCTGTTGAACTTAACATGGTCAAGTGTGATTAGCTGTGCACAAATAAAGTAAGTTTTTAATGAGGAGCTAGGAGTGTTATGAAACCTTTTGAGCTTCTAGTTTTAGAGAGTTCTCTTTTCATAAGCATAATGACTTTAATTCTTGTTCCCAAATCATGTGAAACTAAATTCCCCAAGCCGTACGTAAAGCTGGAAAATAAAAGAGGGTGTGCTGTGCTTGAGGAATGCTCCTAAATAGCCTGTAGGACAGTGACATCTACTGTTAGCCAGTGTTGCTAGCAGAAATCTTAGTCAAAAATGCAGTTTTAGGACTGCAATGCTAGGTTCCAATCCAGTTACCTGTGCTTCAGAGTCCTAAAGCCACATTCTGCCACTGTGAATTAATTTTGGTTAGTGTTGTCTATTAAGTACATGGCTTAAATGGCTATTTGCAGTAATAAATATGCTCGCTGTGCATCTTTAATTTTATATCAACTGAAGCTTGATTACATACAAAGGCAGTTATCTTTACAATACAGGAAAAAGGAAGAATATAAGTAGTTAAAAAAATTAGCTATTACTCAACACCAGAACAGTATTTATCAATGTAACTTCAGTAACTTTCCCGTATGTGAGAAGTAATTGCATGCTCCACTCTGGGAGGTCTTGAAGAGAAGACTCTTTAGAATTTTGCAGTAGCAAAATACTATATCACTGCAGAAAAGGAAAATAAACGACTAGGACAGGACTTCAGCTAAACTTTGCCTTTCTAGGGGGGAAGCTTCCTGGCATACTGCTCTAAAGGATAAGCATGCTTTTAGAGAAAACCCCCTGAGTGCTGTCCTGATTTCTAATCTCCAGCCAAGAAGCATGATTTTTTTCTTGTTGTGGTGTCTGGTAGTAGTTCTGATGAAGTAAACTAGATATGAAAGGTGCATCTTTGCATTGCAGCCTGAGTAAACAGGAGAAAGATAACAGCCTTAGAGATTCTTGATAGACAGGATTGAGCTCAGAAGCCTAAACCAACAGACAGGTATATTTTTTTTTAGAAAATTAAAAAGTAGTCTTTCTTCTTTGAAAGACCTGGCTGTTACTTGTTACTCACTTATTCCTATGGTGAAAAAAATCTCGATACTTAATCTTTATTATTTTTTGAGACTTTCAGTGTCTCTGCAAAAACTGAATTTTGTTATGGTTGAAGAGATACAGTAAACCATGACATAATCTAATCTTTTAAAATTTACTGTCAGCTTATGATATCATTATTAGCCACCTTCACTCTGTTTTAAATGCAAGTTGGTAAAAGATATTATTAATTTTTGAGTACTGTACTTTCAGTGCCTTGAAAAAAGAAACATGCTTATAATTGGCAAGCTGGAAAAGCTAGAATTGGTGGTTACTAAGGTGTGAAGTGTGTTTGAAAATAGCTCTGCATTTCATCTGGTATGACAGTAACTAGTGAGGACATTCTTGCTGCAGTTATGTAATCCCAGTATGAAAGCATGGTGTCTGCATGTAATTTACCACCCTGTTGCAATCCTGTTAGAAAGCAAAACAAACAAAAAACCCCAACCAAACAAAAAATAACCCACCTAAAACCAAACCACACAAAGTCAGTCAGACACTAATGTAATAATTTGAATTATAAAAATGTATGTAAGCTATAGAACAGTTTGTAAAATTTAAAGCTGTTTCTCATGTACATTCTTCTCTGGGACAATGAGGCAGTAAGAACAATTTCAAATAATGTTTGATGATTTTGATGCAAGAGCTCATGCATGATCATAAGCATTCAGATTTGTTCCAACATGTCTCCCACCCAGGACAGTGAGTTACCAGGTAAATCACGCATTACTAGTCGTATTCCAAAAATGTCTTTAAAGGTTATTAGAAAGTGAATTCCTTAGCAAAAAACTCTTGAATGCTGCTAATGGGTTTTCTCATGGTTTTCAGGTACTTTGTATTTTACTGCCCACAAGACCTATTCTGCCGGTGCTTTGCCTTTCTGCCTCTTCGGCTCCTGGTTGCAGGAATGAAAGAAGTGACTAGGACTTGGAAGATACTGGCTGGCATTGCACATGCAAACAGTCACTTCAAAGATGCCTGGTTTCTCATGGTTGCTGTGGGCTGGGCCAGAGGTAACATGCATAATATCTTGTTCTGATAGATTGTGATGTTTTGGAGTGGTACTTAAATGGCTAGTCCTTCAGCATAACTGTAGCACCACTCCTTGCTATGCTGGATTGGATAGTCCTAATGCAGTCTGTATTCCCCTAAAGGGAAAAGCCTATGCAGCAGTTTTTCTGCCTGGATTAAGGGTGACATTGAATGACTTTGAGGGAAGTTCATTTTATCCCTTCAGAAGGTCTTATGAGGGCTTGTGGGCTGGGCACTTCATGGCATTAAAGAAATAGATCTCCTATGTAGCTTTAGTGCTGTTACTAAATTTTCCAACAGCATGTTTCCTTGCCTGCCTGATGTTTGGAGTATGAGTCTGGAAGATACCTTCCTAGCAGCTGTATTTGCAGTCAAGACGTTAGAACCTCTTCAGGAAGTCATAGTTCAGGTCTTACTTCTCTTCCCTTGATTCAGTTCTGCCTTGGGAAACAACATGTGTTAATGTAATGTATTGATCTAATATATTATTTTCCCAGGTTATAATACAAATTAGTCTCATTAGCCAGAGTATCTAACACCTTCTTATGTCTTGTATTCTTTCCATGATGACAGGAAGAAAGGGATGATACAGACGTCTCTGCAGATTTACTTTGGCAGTTCAGGCATTTGTAGTGATGAGGGCATCAGTTCAGATGTTTTCACATAAAGGTGTAAATCTCTGAGTTTTGATGTTGGTGGTTCAAGTCATACACATTTAAAAGAGTGGATCAGTGTCCTCAAATTTGAACTTCGGGTGTTACATTTGGCACCTGGTGTAGCGAGTCTTGCTGGGAGTAATATGTGTAGTAGTGGTAGGATGCAGTAGAGGCTTATTGGAAATCTCTACAATTTCAGGAGCTGGTGGTGGCCTAATTTCCAACTTTGAGCAGCTAGTGAGAGGAGTGTGGAAACCTGAAACCAATGAACTGCTGAAGATGTCCTAGTAAGTTTTTTAAAAAGACTCAAACATGTTAACTAGCTTCACTAACTCACTGTGTTGACACTCCCTTTTAGTGGCTCAGGTCACAAAAACCCCCAGACAATAGGACATGTTTGTACTTAATGTTTTGGTGTGTATCTTCTGAAAGATTGGTTAATAATCTTCAGTCATTTTAGCAGATGTTTTAAACATTTTAGGTTCACAGCAGAAGAATGCCAGATGACGAGTCTACCAAAATCAGTTGCTAGAAAGGAATATTGAGTCAGTATGAAGTTGCTGGAAAGCAGTATTGACTCTTTTTTTCTTAGAGTCTTCTATCCAAACTAAAGGACAGTGGTACTAGAAGTATACAAGTGAAGTCTGCCATTTTGGTGCATATCCTGAGTGCCACGAAGATGACTTTTGTTTGAGCATTGTCACTCTCACTTTCTCTGCCAGTACTGTTTTTCTCCATAGATAGCAACTATTTGAGAAGATGCAAACTGATGATATTTGTAAGTATAGCAAAAACATCTTGCAAGATAGGAAATGTTGCTTCTCTTGTAGAAGCAAAGAATGAGAACATGACACACCTCCCAGTTTAGTCTGCACAGTAAAATGAGAATTGAGACATCCTAAAAAGCCACAAGCTATTATTGTCAGTGAAGATAAGATCACTGTGGTAATTTCCTAAAACTAATTTTATCTTTCCCATGTTGCTCTCAGGTCTTTAGAAATAATAATTCTATTTTTTTTAAAGGTATCCTGCTTCTTTGCAGCCACTCTTAGCAGCAGAATAATAGAAGTTTACTAGTTGTTCTGCGATAACAGGAATGTCACCTGTAAATGTCGTATGTAGAGACAGATTAAGAAATGCACAGAATTTTTCTGCCAGGATGTTACTGCTATCTCTTCAGATGACTTTAGATAACTGATCAAAGTTACCTTGTTTTCTGACCAATACCTAGCAAAATATTTACCACCAGAATGAAGACAGCTTGAAGATGTAAATCTTTCCAAGTCTCAAGCCAACAGAGCTATGTTGGCAAAGCTGGTAACAGAGACCTGGCCTCAAGTCAAGTATAAGCTAATTACAACCCTAGAACAGCGGGAGTGTCAGTGGACCAAGACTTGACTATGTTGTTCTTCAACACTTTAAGCAACTCCTTGGAGTAACTAATACCTGGAGTATAGGAAGGGAACCTGTTTGTAAGGCCAAGTAGTGCAAGTTTTGTTATTTATCACTTCAGTAAGATACATCGGTAGAGGAAGAAGGGGAGCAGGCTCTTTTATAGATCCTGAATAGAGGCATTGGTTTGACAAGGATTTATCAAATATGAATTTGCTAGGTGTGCAAAGTATTGCTGAACTCGATCCTTGACCATATTGTGAAGAGACAGCTTAATAATAGTATATAAAGTGGAAGTCTTCTTTTTATTATAGTTAGGTTTTGCTCCTTGTCACTGTTACCACAAGTTTTCATTAGTTCTATTTAGAAATAATTCTTTTGCACATTAAGAATATACATTCCTTTCCAGGTCATGGCAGCTTTCACTGCGGGGAAGAGATATTAATATTGTTTGTTTGATTTCCAGCCCTGTGAAAGTGACTTTGATAGGAGCTGTTCTTTTCACCCTGCAACACAGCCAGTACTTGCCAATAGAGAGACACGACCTTATGTTTTTATACAGCATCTTTCTTGTTGTCTCCAAGGTAAGAATGTGAAAATGTTGCAAATACTTCAATAACAGAAAATGTATTTTTTTTATTATTTCGGAGCAAAACAATTCTGCCACAGATGTTCTACCACCACTTAGAATGCATGCTTCTGGAAGGCCAGCTCCTCCTGAAGTGTTAAACCTGTGTTTAGTCTTCTACACATGAGCAGAACAGAAGATCTATTCTGCCACTGATAGTGTTTGATGTAGGAAAAAAAAATAACCACACACAAAAAAAAGAAATCAGCACTTTTGGCACCTAGCAGTTGATATGGCAGGGTTTTGTGTCCATCATCTCAAACAAAGCTTATGGTTGTATAAAGAAACTCTTTGGTTCTCTGCCTTTTGCTAGCTGCTTAATGCCTTCCTTGTACCTGTGAAGTCATCTGTGGGCTAGCAAAACAAGTAACTAGATCTCATCTAGGTTGAAGTGTTTGCTGTGTGTTTAGGTGGGAAGAGAAAGTGCATCAAAACCACTCTGAAGTAGCGGTAACTACTTTTAAAATAAAACAGATACTACTTCCCTCTTGAAGCCTTTAATCCCTCCAGTTTTTTTAATTTCTAAGATTATGTCTGTGTTTAGGATCATTATCTAATAAGAAAACATAGTCTCTGCAGAAGTCTGGCAATTGCGGGAGCATCAGAGCTGCTGTTGCGCAGACTAGAGACTGTCTTAAAGTGGTGGTTGTCAGTGTAATTTCTGTGAAGTAGCTGACATGTTTAGTTCTAGAGAAGCTGATTTGGGGAGACAAGATTTTGAGCTGATGCTTATGATTCTTCACCTAAACCAATAAAGGCAGTGTTGAACTGGGAATGCTGGGAATGGAGATGGAAAGGAATGTTATTCTGGAAGTGAGAAATTACATCTGTTTTCAGAAGCTGGCTGTCAGTCTGCACTGAAGTGAACTAGTTCTTAAATCAAGGGTCATACTGACAATCAGGAACTGAAGCATTTACTTTACTAATAAAGCAACAGTTGTGGATCTGGCTTTTAGAAACTTTTTATGTCTCTGAAAACTTTAGAAACTGTTGCAATATGAACTTGTCCAGTACTTGGATGTACAAAAATTGTTTTCTTTCCTGATTCAAAGTTAGATACTCTAAGGAATTTCTGCCTAAACCTTTCAACATTATGGAATGAGTATGGCTGTCTGGAGTTCTAAGTGAAGTGTAGCTGTGTTTGCACATTGCATTCTTTCCATTTAAATGGAAGTAGACACTCTGTTTGCAGTTTTTCATTTTGAACAAGGTACAAAACTTAGTCATAGAAGTTGCTCTTTGCCTTAGTTATGTGACATTAAAGGTGTCTAGGATGAATTTTGCAAAACCTAAGCTGTGTGAAGAACATAGGTCAGAAAGAAAAGCATTCTTAGCTGAATTCAAGCTAAAAAGAACGTATTTATGTTCTTGGTGGCATGGCCTTATGCTCATGTAAAAATTAGAAATGCCATACATCCATTCAACTTTGAACTTGTTTTCAGTTGTGAAGTCACCAAGCCCTTTTTGTAACTTGATCTTTGTCTCGTTCTTCATAGGTAACAATGACGTTGACAAAATCTTTAGCTTCTCCATTTGCTCCCTTTGAGGCTGCCTTAGGCCATATGTTCTTTGGCTTGCAAAAGACACCATCCAAAGTGAGGGCTGAAGGTGCCTCATCTTCCAGCGGCTCTTCTGATGGTGACCGGTCTTCTGAACAGCCCCGTGATGGTGTTAGGAAAAGACAAGCAAATAAAAGTGAATAAGTGGTGTAAAATGATTGTAATATTTTAAAGATGTTTGTATTTCAAGATAGACTAATTGAGAAATTTGTTTAAAGAAATGCCTGTGAGGAGAGAAGTTGTATGCTACTTTGTATACTACTTTGGTGTTGTTTGCCTTTGGAATGTGTTTTGTAAGCTGCTCTTCAGATGTCTAAATGCACATGTTGGATTTGTAAGTTAAAAACTACAACTTTTTATAGTGTGTAAGTTTACTAACTTTTGTATTTATAATAACTTCACATGCTTACATGCTAAAAAGATAGTTTCAAAATGTGACAATCAGCTTCCCGGCTCCTCCCCCTCCTCCCCCATTGCTTTTTTTCAACTCCTCTCCCCTCCATTTCTTATGCTTTGTTTGGATAGCATGTATTTGCACTGCCAAGTGTTCACAGCATGTCCCAAGTAAGAAAGTAATCATCTGAGTAAGGCTTAATCCATATTGCCCTGTAAAAACATGAAAATGTGCCGAACTTATGCCTTTAACTAGAAAAATAACTGAATTACTGTGATAATTCACGTTGCACTCGTTTAGATTCTCATTTACTTATGCAAATATTTTTCCTATTTTTCTATTTTTCAAAATAGGAGTGAATTATCTGGCACTTTAAGAAGTCCAGCAGTTTACAGGTAGCAAGTAGGAATATTTCAGCATTTTAATTGTTGGCTTACTTTGACACTTTATTTGCAAGCATTTGATATATAGATGTTTTTTCATGTTACACAGGGGATTAACATGTGGTTTGTAGCTATCTTTATGTTTGACTGGGACTGGACATCTCTGCCTTCAGTTTTATCCAAGCATACACATTTTTTCTTTTCAAAGCCAAAGTTCCGTTGAAAAAAGAACACTGGAGAGTACATTTACCTTGTTAATGAGTTAAGCTGCCTTATGGCTGCTGTTAATAAATACCTGCACTAGTTTGTAGCAATGACCCCAAGTGCTACTGGGGAAGAACTGTTAATAACAGAGGCACTGGAACTGTTTATTAGTGTTTGCTGAAATCTGCTGCTTCCTGCTAGTTGCATCTTTTTTGTACATGATGTGGAGCAGTTGTAAGTGACATACACTTCGAAAATGAGAACACAGATATTTTGGAGATGTTACATTTCATAAGAATAGGATCTTTTTTGAGCTATCTTTCACTGATGTGCCAATTTTTAGAATAAGTTAAATAATTTTTACAGAATTAGATTATTTGTCTTCAGAGTGTACTGCTTTGAAGAGTATTCTTCAGCAAGAGGAGGAAGGTTAATACTTCTGCAGAGATGCCAAGGAGAACATGGAGGGAGATCTGTTTTGAAAGGACAAAATTCTAGTTCCAGGTACATATCTAATTTAGAAAAACTGTCACCAGTGCTGTTCTTAGAGCTTGAAAGCTAAAATGAGTATTTTCTTCAATGGAGATTAATAATAAAAAAAGCAAACCCTCAGCTCTTTGGACAAAACAGCAGTCATATTCCTGACATTTTACATGGAAACTTGGTGTACAGTTAAAAATGCTTGGAATATTCACTTGCAGGGTGTCTCAGTTTTCTGTAGCCTGTTATCATGGATGTATGGATAAACTTGAAGCTGCAACCTGACTAGTTGATGATCAACTAGTTATTTAGCAATACCAGCAGAAGTTTTATGTCCACAGTTTTTAAGCTTTTGGATGTTTTTGTTTTTTTTTCAAAAGGTGTCATTGGGTATACTTGTATCCCAAGAACCTTTAGAGAATTAGATTGTGCTGTGGAACTGTGTTGCACAACTGTGAAATACTGTCTGATAAATAGCCACTCTTAGCCCAAGTAAATGTGAAAGCATGCTTACACTAATTATTTAACATGTTTACATTTTGAAGGAAAATACATGGTTTTGATTCCATTTTATACTTAAAGTTGACAATATTTTTTTCAAGTTTTCTTACCTGAAAACCTTAAGAGAAATAAAAATCACACAAAAAATGTAAATTATTGTGAGACAGAACATAAGTTATGCTGAAAGAAATCCTGTTGTAAGCACCATGAAAAATAAGTCTTCGTGTTTAAAGATCTCACAGGCTTCTGAAGCATTAGTGTTCAAAAGCACTCTGTACTGAACAGTTACATTTAAGTGTTCTGAGAACTACATTTTTATAATACAGAAAAGCTAACCAGTTGCACAGGGTTTAACCTGAGTTCTGTAGGAGAGTTTAATGCAGTCTGTTCACGATGCCTTAAATAAACAATTGCTTCCCAACTTTCATGGTGATAGTTTTATAAGTCTGCTAAACTTCTCTGTGTGAGATTGGTAAGAATTCTGTATAGCTGTTACATTCTGGTAAAGCATGTTACACTCAGCAGAGCTGCATATGTAAACTAGTTCACTGTATCTAATTTTGTCATTAGCCTGGTAAAATTAGAAGTAGTTCTCTTGTACTAATATAAATTAAGGCCTGAAAGACTTGATTTTTCAGCTCAATTCTCAGACTGAAAGGGCCTATTCCTGATAAATCCAATTGCTCTTCTGGGTCTTCGTTTCTATTAAGTATGCCTAATTTTTATAAAAATGTGATTCATAAGCTAAACCAAAGGTGCTTTAGATGATAAATGCATTTTGCTTTCCTCTTCTGTATTTTCTCTTTCTCACTCTATTGGAAAGAAGTGGGGATAGAAGGATATCATAAATGACAGTGCCTTAATTCTTAACTTGATTCTTCAGTCTACTATTAGGCAAACACAGCTGTGCAAGAATTCCAAATATCTGTCTTTCTGTAGGAATCTGAATTTCCTAAATATTAGGGCTGTGCTGAAATCTTAACATCTTCCAACAATCCAAGCAAATGGAAGCTTTACTCAGAATGGATACTTTTAATTTATAAGGTGAATCCTTATTTCTGAGGTCTAAATGAAGCCTTACTGACAGACAAGCAGCATTTGACACTAAGATGAGAATAAAAAAATGTGTTGTAAATACTAGTTTGCATTTGTTTTGATAAAACTGCCCTATTAAGTAGTCAACTGTCTTCTGTGAAATGTGTGAAACTGTCCAGCAAGGAACACAGATAGCAATATGAGATGGAGAAATACATTAATATTTTCAGTTAGGAACAGCCTATTCCACACTGATCTGCAAGTGAGTTTTGTCTGCAGCCAAGGAGTAGAATGTGATGGTTAAAAACACCATACCGAATAAAAACTGCTGCAACCACATTTGTTAAATGCATGTGTTTGCCCAGCAGCTGCTGTGAAGGAGGAACATAATAGGTTGCTTATAGAGGAGGAACAGAACATGTTGTCTGGTTGGCCGTCAGTGATGAGTGGTGTCCCTCAGGGATCTGTATTGTGTATTGCAGCAGTGCTTCGTATCTTCCTCAGTGGCACAGACAGTGGGGTTGAGTGCACCCTCAGCAAGTTTGCAGACCACACCAAGCTTGTGGTGCAGCTGACACACCTGAGAGATGGGGTGCCATCCATAAGGACATGGACAACCTAAAGAAGTGAGCCCAGGTGAATGTCATGAGGTTCAACAAGGCCAAGTGCAAGGTCCTCCACCAAGGGCAATCCCTGGTGCCATTACAGTCAAAGGGATGAAGGGATTGAGAGCAGTTCTGCTGAGAAGGACTTGGGGGATTGGTGGATGAAAAGCTGAACATGAGCTGGCCACGTGCATTTGCACTCCAGAAACGCAGCCAGATCCTGGGCTGCATCACAAGAATTGTGGCCAGAAGGTCAAGGGAGGTGATTCTGTCCCTCTGCTCTTGTGAGACCCCACGTGGAGTACTGTGTCCAGCTGTGAGGCCCCCAGTGTAAGAGGGACATGGAGCTGTTGGAGGAAGTCCAGGGGAGGGCCACAAAAGGCCCAAGGGCTGGAGCACCTCCCATGAGGACAGGCTGAGAGAGTTGGGGTTGTTCAACCTGGAAAAGAGACGCAGGCTCCAGGGAGTCCTTATTGCAGCCTTTCAGACCTTAATGGGGGCTTCTAAGAAAGATGGAGACAAGCTTTTTAGCAGGGCCTGGAGTGATGGGAAAAGGGGTAATGGTTTTAAACAAACAGAAGGTAGATTTGGTTTAGATATATTAGGAAGAAATTTTTTTCAGGGCGGCTGGTGGAACACCAGAACAAGGTTACCCAGAGAGGTGGTAGATGCCCCATCCCTGGAAACAGTCAGGGCCAGGTTGGATGGGGCTCTGAGCAACCTGATCTTGTTGAAGATGTCCCTGCTCATTGCAGGGGGCTTTGACCAGGCGACCTTTATGAAGCCCTTTGAAGCAAACCATTCCATGATTCTTTAATTCTATGAAAAGAGTTTACTTAAAGTTGTTGATGCGTACTATCAGGGTGGTTGAAACAGCCTTACCCTGGGTGCAGACAGTGCCAGTGACTTACAGTTCTTATGAAAAGCAAGAAACATGCATCTTCTTTTTTTACTCTTTAGCTGAAAGTTTATCAAGCTTTCTGGCATACTTTTCCACAATAATTTCTATCCGAATGGTTGCTTGTAATAGACACTTCAGATCAGAGTCACCTTTTCGTTTGGTCAGATTTTTTCCTTCCCGTGAAGAAGGCCACTATCAAACACTTAAATATCAAGGCTGGGTTAGTGATCTTGTGGA